CTCACACAGGTATTTCCTTCTTGGACTTTCACATTTCTCCGTCTGGAAGAAGCCAGCCTCCATATCATAAGAGTACACAATTTAAGAGCTACAAGAAGGGGAAATGAGACCTCCAGTCAACACCAAATATAAATAGTAGCTCTGTGAGTAGGCCACCTCACTCTGGTTCCATCATACCCTCAGATGACTGCAACCCCAGATGCTATCTTGAGTGTCACTGCATTGGAACTTGAAGTCATTAGGTCTTGGGGTCAGTTTGTTGTTTAACAACAAAAAAATATTACAAAAGAAAAGCCCAACAAAGGGTAAAAATATCTACTGAAACACACAGAGACCTTAGTACCTAGTAAACTATGTCATCATCATCATAACAGAAAATCTTCACAACAAAAACTGTCTGTATTCAGAAAGTGGGTGTAAATGTCACAGTGGAGCCCAATGGGTACAGATATAATGAATTTCTGGCTGAACAAGCAGAATATGATTTAAGTGTACATGTCCTGCTGCTACTATCTCTGCTGTACCTTTTCCTACTTCCATGGACCCCAGTAGGAAATGTGATCTCACAAAGCAACAGGAGAAAGATACTATGCCAGCCACTGGGAAAGCTAGACCAACATTCTGCTCTGGTTACAAAGCTAGGTTACTCTAGAAATTGACTGCATTCAAATGAAAAAGAAACATCCCTCCTTCTGCAGTTGTGGACAACTTAACCAAGAACAAAAGGCTCTAGACTTCACTCTTTCTCGTTGATCAGCATCTTTCTATAGGGCCCAGGCAGCAACTAAAAGGACTACATGGATTTCTAGATGTTCATTCTCTTACTCTGTATCCTCAAACTCCACTCTGCTCTGCCGCTTCCTTTGGAACTGGTGTGCATCAGAACTTAGAAAAAGGTGGAGGCAGGCCACTCCCACAGGATCCACAGTCGCTGAGCTAGTGCAGGATTTCTCTCTGCCTGGGACAGAGCCAGAACTGTGATGCTGGCTCAGAGGGCCTGCCTTTATTTTTAGCAGGTAATCAACCCTCATTTTGTTGTTCTCAGAAAAGCCCCGCCCTTGTCTAAATGGCTCATGTAATTAGCACCTCTCTAGCTTTAATTCCCTCCCTACCCGCCTGTAATTATTATCTGCTGACCTTTGTTCCCCTAATTGCTGTTTGACTCCTGATCCCCTTGTACCACTCTGCTTTCTCCTTTTCCCCTCCCTTCTGAGTCAAGGACCTATTGTATAGAGTACAGTATTTGTTTTTCTAATCCCAGAGGGTCTTTGGAATCCCCACTTCTCTGCTATTTGAGACACCTCCAATTTTCACTTGCAGAGAGGCTGTTCTACACACACAACTTTCTCTCGCTTAGCCTTGCTTCTTTCATAGACATAACTTCTAGGGCTGGCAAGATCAGTCCGCAGGTAATGGTGCTTGCTGTTTAGCCTGATGATCTGAGTTAAAACCCTCAACATCCACAAGCTTTCCTCTGACTTCCACATTCACTCCCTGGCTCCTGAGTCTATATGAGTATGCATACACACACACTTAATTGACTGGCTGATATTGTTTGATTAATTTAAAATTTTTTAAGTAATTAACTTCCAGGTCAAAATAATGAAACCTCTTTTTATGGGAGAGAGGATGGAGGCCTGAAGTAATTCAGGGATTTGCTCCTTTGGATGAGGCTTTGATGGGGAGAGGCTGCATTGTGTCCCCAAGGCTGTTTGTATTTGACCCCAGAAGCTCTTACTTCTCCCAGTTAGACAAATCAAACTTGAACTACCTGAAAGGTCTCAGTTTCTGGACTGTCCATTTCATACTAGTCATGACTACTTACCTTGATTGTAATCTGAATCTCAACTTTTCTGAATTTGAAGATTGCTTTTACCCTTTACTCTGTCACAAGATACTGTTCAACAAGAGTTAAATACAATTTTCTGACAAGTTATCATTTATCAAGTACCTTTTTGAGGTCTTACTGGAAGAATCTTAGATCATCCCCTCAACTAAATGAATATTGCTACCGCATTGATATACTCACTTTTTACTTGTTCACTTCCATGTCTGAATTTTCTGGTTTTCTGATTTCAATGTGTCCTGCCCATCAGCACACAAAAGTGGCCTAGTGTCCTTCATCTGTGCATCATCCTGTGTAGATGCAGATGAAGGCTCGAGGTTAAAGCCATATGTCTTTCCCTATTACTCTCTACTTTACATTTTGAGACAGGATCTCTCACTGAACCTGAAGCTCATGGACTGGCTAGACTATCTGGCCAGTGAGCCACTGAAATCCCTCTGTCTCTGCCTTCCCAGCACAGGGATGTCATGGAGGTGACATCATGCTGTTTTGTTTTTTTTGTTTTTGTTTTTGTTGTTGTTGTTGTTGTTTTAATATGGGTGGTAGAGAGCTGAACTCAGGTCCTCACACTTGCAAAGTAAGCATGTTACCAGCATCAATGGCTTTATGACATAGACTTCTCCAATCATCATCTATTCTTCTCTTCCTGTTTACTGGATAATGTCTCCAACAAATTTCATACAATTTCTTTTCCAGTTTCTCCCTTCCATTTTCCATCAGACCTATACCATCAGGTCTTATGTTAACCACCACCTTTGTCAAGGTCACTGGTAATCTCCATGTAGCTAAAACCAATGATCAATCATGCTTCCTTGTCCTTCTTATTGTAATTGTAAGCTTTATCTCTCTCCTTTGTGATCTCTAAACATCTAGACTTCCAGGATACCACTCTCTTAGCTTCTCCTC